CTATTACTTTTCAGTAATTGATGCTAAGAGTATATCACAACAGTTTAGCTTAGAGTCGTGTTGGGAATTTTTGTGCGTCAGATGTTCGATGGTTGGATTTTCCCTTCAATAGAATTATTTCTTGGTTCGTTATTCATATTCATTTGAATTTCTGTTTTCAGATACATAGCAGATGTTGGCAGTTATGCTGGCATAGGCTATAGCTCTCCAACACTAGGAACGGCATTACTAAATCTTGTTCCAGGCTTTACTTACGTACTTGCCATCATTTTCAGGTTAGATTCCTCGCCTAAATCAGTTACTAATTCGGATAATTGGGTAGGTAGTTTGGTTCTACAGCTGCTAATCTTTATCATTTTCGGTGATTGATGGGAATTGAACAACAAAAGTGCTACTTATACAGATTTTTTGTCCAGATGGATTTACAGGACTACTGAGATGACAGCATTTAATTGGCTGGTTTAACTTTATTTTTTATCCAATATCTGATGAAATCTTGTTGACATTCTATAAATCAGTCTATATTTACAGATCGTACATGTAGCATTTCTCAATGTACGAAAGAAAGTCGGTACCAAAATAAGACATACCAAACCTCGCCATAGATATCTTTGAGATATATCTCAAACTCGTCATGTGTTATATTCTTTTTCCCTATGCGTATCTACATTAATTTGAAGAAGTTCATCCCTAGAATGGAAGGTCTTAATTGGAAAAGATCAAGTGATGTAGCCAAATCGGCAGGGACTGTTATTTCCATAGTGGGGGCATCTGTTGTGACAGTTTATAAGGGACCAGAAATCATAAACAAACTACAGTCATTACACTCTCCTATACTTCTTTGGTCGCCCCAACAAAATTGGATCCTCGGAGGAATTTTACTTGCATTGGCTGGTTTGTCGACTGCATCATGGTGTATTCTTCAGGTTCGACTATCATGAATAATAAACAGAAAATCGATGATAAGACACTCCGAATCTCATTTTTTTTGCTTTGTTTATGATGGCAGTCTTCAATTCTTAAGATGTACCCGTCTGAGATGATCGTAGTTGCTTTTTACTGCCTCTTTGTGACCATTCAAGCTGGGCTGGGTGCTCTGATTGCTGAAAGAGATGTAACTGCTTGGAGGCTACACGCTGATATGGGATTAGTTGCTATTATTTTTGCTGTATGAAAATGCTCGACTCTTGTGATTTTTCAAAGTTCTAGAGGAATACATTATAAGCTACATTGGGGATGAAAATTGACAGAAATATGTTGATGCAGGGAGTTATTAATATTACATTCCGAATCTTTTTGATGTCGTGGTGCCTCCCGAGGACAGGTCCGCTATTTGTTTCTCTGTTTAATCCATTGACGATTATTATTGCTGTTGCCATTGGTGTCATCTTTGAGGGAGAAGTTCTTTATTTTGGAAGGTATAACCTGCTAATTGAATTCACATCAGCAATATGTCTTTCTCGTTATTTTTTTCGAGTTTCTTACTCTGAATTTGGCTATTGGTTTTGAAACTTCTGGCAGTATTGTTGGTGCATTTGTTTTAGTCATCGGGTTCTATGCCGTGATGTGGGGTAGAGCAGAAGAAAGAAAGACTGAAAGGACAAATAAAAGTAATAATGTAGATTCATCAGGGCGTGAAGTGCCTTTATTACAAGACATGATCGAAGAAGCCTAGATTTTGTGACAACATAGGAAAAGTGATTTTATTGTACTAGGTGTTTGTCCATTGTATAGAAAGACTAAGAGTATGTCTGGCAATTTTTTGTCGGATCCCGTGGAATGTGCAATAAAAATAAAGTTTGATTATCCTTCAGTAAGCAATTATATGCTTTGTCAAACTTGCACTAAATTTAAAGTAATGAGATGTCTCAAGTTGTGTTATACATGTCTCAATTACCTTCTTTGTTATTATTTGGTTTCATGAAAGGAAATAACAACAGATTTTTGTCATTCTTTTTATCGAAGTCTTGGT